GCACTTCAAAAAAGAGGGTAAGTTTGCTTTTGCTAGCCTAACAATACTTTATCTTCCTCTGGGCCAAAAGTGACTTCTTGCTATTAAAGATTCATATTCCCTAAACTTGAATTTATTCTCTTACAATGCACACCACTAGTTACAGAAATGGTACCTACCCAGGGGATGAAACTTGATTCAGTAGCGTGGTACAAATGCTTGTAGTTTGTCCACTGCTACTGTCATAAGCAAAAATGTCATTTGTCTCTAATTCAGGCAACTCATGTCCTCTGATAACATGCATAACTATAGGGCCAGCGAGATAGCTCAGCGGACGAAGCACCTGTTTAAGCAAGCGCAGGGACAGCGGTTTGATCTGTGGTACCACATGCCACACCAGCCCTGCTCCCGAAGGCACCGAGCTGGCCACGGAGACAGGGCATGGTGGAACGCGCTTATAATCCCAGTGCTGGGGAAGCTGAAAACAGGAGGGTCACTAGGAGTCTGAACTGCGTAGTGAGACCCTGTACCAAATACATTTTTTAAAAAAAGCATAACTGTGGCAAGTTGACTTGGGATCATCACAGTTTCTAATAGAAACATAAAAGTTTGGAGATAATCAGATAAAGAGAGAAAACATTACATGCAATGAGGCTTCTTGTTCAATTTTTTGAATCTAGGATGATTAAGTTACAACTTTGAGCAGTATGCATTAGGTATGATGTAGAATCTGCTTTATTCTTCAAAAAAATTATATATAAACAAATATACATACACATAGAATTTAATTGATTTAAAATTAAATACATGATATAGATCTTATCTCTACCTACAGATTTAAAAAACAAAAACTCCAACAACCTCATGGAATGAACTCTCACAGATAATAGACAAAAAAGCAAAACTCTCTGGTTTGAAAATATGACCTCTTTTAACCTCCAAATAAAACACAGATTAAAGGAGAATGGGCTAGGCTACCTTTAAATAAAATGTCTACATTATTTAGTGTTATGTTTAATTTTATTATCTCACCTTTTTAAAATACCATAAACTTAGGTACTGACAAGTTATTACATAATCTTAACTCAGTATTAAATATTCATCATTCACAATAAACAAAATATTTTGAGTTTTATGAATATTGAGTTTATATTAAATAACAAATATTCTTAATAATAATTTACAACTAAAGCTACTATTTTAGCCGGGGAGATGGCTCAGTGGAATATGCGCTTCCCTGGCAAGCTCAAGGGCCTGAGTTCAATCCCCGGTTCCACAAAAAAATAAATAAATAAAAATAAATAAATAAAGCTACTATTTTAGAAATTTATCAGAAAATAATGCTACTTTTTTAAAAGTTATACATCTAGAGAGAATTATCGTTAGCTACAGAAAGACAACATGACAGGAGAAATAATTTCATTGAAATGACTATATATTCCATGAAACCATTGTTAGTCACAGAGATAAAAAGAGTATTAACACACTAGCAAGTGAGAAAAGGACTACATGTGTCTAGAATTTATAATGTCCTTAAGAATGAGGCATGTAAAAAAAAAGAAAGGAAGACAGAAACATTTCTTAATTTAATGGAAGTAAAATATAAATTATATAAAATCTGGGGTAAATTTTTAAAATGGATAATTTATTTCAAATCATAAACCGGGCACCATTGCTGTGATCTTCCTCTGCTAACTACAATGCTAAAAAAAAAATTAAACCAATCATTCTAAAATATAAATAATAAAAATAAAAACAGGCTTTAAAAGTCTATAGGCTGTGATCAAAATGCAAACAACATTTTTTTTTTGGATTGCCTTAACTAAAAGAACACTGGATATTCATTAATATTCTATTAATTGAAATAGATTATTTTACTTCCCACAAACTACTACTTTTTTATAGAGAAAAAGCTTCCAGCTAGAGTTTATCAAAAAAA